CTCTGGCCACCAACCCACAATAACTTCAAAACAACTGAACCCGCAAAAACCAAAAACAAGCACAGCATACTAAAACAAATAGTTTTGCTGACACCGACAAACAACAACACAGCCCTCTAAAACAATAAAACATCCTTCAACACCAAAACTGATGTAACATTCAGACTCTGCCGAACACTGACTGAGTATCGGACCCCCGACATGTCTGCGTAGATACGGCGCCGCCCTCGTCAGTTGGAGGTAAACTAGGGGCCTTTTTGCTGTCTGCTGAGTGTTGGCTGAGTGTTGGCTGAGTGGAGTTGATTGGGGATTGATTAAGTACAAAGGGGTGTGTAACAAATCTGAAACAAACAGCATAAACGAAAAAAAAAAAAAAAAAAAAAAAAAAAAAAAAAAAAAAAAAAAAAAAAAAAAAAAAAACATACCCCATCCTGCGTGTTGATTCATTTGGGGGATGTTAAAAACATCATGAGCTGTTTGGCCCCGTTAGTAGCAGGAGTTGCTTTTGGGTCTTGATGGGCAACTCCCAACTTCAGACACCAATCTGTCAAAAAGTATGGCGATGATTCCTGGTATTCTTGCGTGTCCCTGCCCACGTGCTTGTAAGCCTGGCCGCGTGTCAAAAAAAGCACAGGTCGTGGAAAGCAAAAAACCCAGCATCCGATCGTTTGACATGGAGTGACATGGGCTTCCATTGTTTGCTTGTCTTTGTGAGTTCTTGCCCAAACATTTTCCGGCTTAGCTGCTTTGACAGGCATGGGCGGCGACACCAAGGGCCAGCAATGGATTGGTCAAGTTGCCAAACAAGCAGGCCTCTTTTGGAACCCTGACGGCAGTGCGTGTTGCCCAAAAGTGGATTATACTTTGACAGCCTGACACATCTGTCACTGTATAGTGGCAAAGAGCTCCTCTTTTGGCTCATGTTGGTTTGACGTGTGGCTTTGGTTTGGTAGAACTGACCATCTTGAAAGAAAACCAATATCTTCCCACATGCCCTCCTTCAGAACTCCTGCGCAGGTCACGCGCACTTTCTCCTCGCCGTCTTTGAATTTCAACCAATGCCGCCCTGCTGTCCGAGCGATCTGTTCTTTGGGAATGTGTCCGAAATGGCCCCTGCTTCCTTCCAAACTTTTCACAGGGAAGGGATACGCCCCCTTCCTGACCAGTTCCACCTTCACAATCCATCCCCCGAGAGCTCAAAACCGGTCGCAAACCATCCAAAAGTCGTGAATCCCCACAAAATGGGCCAAAACAAAACCACCAAAGACTCTCCCCAAAAAAACAATTCACGGGGAAAAACGAAACCGCACAAAGGCTCCCCCTCTTATTGCATTTGTGTGAGCTCCACATTCCCCTTGTAGCCTTGGGTGACACAAACGGGCCCTCTGCCTAGGCTGCGTGCACCAGCACGAACCCGTCGTGGCCCACCGAGGCGAAACCGCCCATGGCCGCGCAGACGGCGGTGACGCCGCCCTTGTGGGCGTCCTTCACCTGGCCGCACGGCCACGGTCAACGTTGCTTTCCAACCCCTGGTATGATCGGGGAAAAAATGGCAGTGTTGCCTTTTTTTGCAGAGCCCCCCCCCAAACAAAAAGATCTGAGCCGAAAACTAAATAGCAAGAACAACATGCCAAAAATGGTCAGGGTTTCCTAAGAGTTTGTATGTCTGTCTTAGATCAAACATAGACTACCAGCAATGTGAGAGGACCAGATTGTCGCCAAATGGCCCTAGAATGGGCATCATTTGACCTTCAGGCTGTTTGCTTGCTTTACGCTCTGGCGGTCGGGGGCTGGCACGTGGGAAGTAAAGGCTCTCATGACACTTGGGGGTGTGAAAATACCTCAAGAACCCATGGGATCTTCTTCTAGATGGCACGGTTTCCCATTTGTTTAAAGGCGGTTTGCCTATTCATATGCTTGAGATGTCGGGTTTCAGCCAAAGTCACAAGGGGGCGCCCGGGGTGTCGCACCCCACCCTGCCCGCCTGGACGCGCTTGGCCGGGCTGTCGGCGTCCCAGAAGATGAGCTGCTGGTCCAAGGACCCGCTCACCAACTTGTGGCCCTGGGATGCGGCGGGCCGAGTCCCCCAAATCAACCAGACCGCTGCGGACGATAGGGAATGACTTTCCGAGTCCGGGTGTTGGGAATGAAGCGGCTGATTCCCTTCTCAAGGACAACCCTAGGGGTTGCAGTGGTTTATAGGGGGTCATTCCCTCGTTCCCTGCCGGAACCAGCAACTGTTTTTGGACCTCGAGTCTTTCGAACTGCCCTCCATGCCAGATTGGCTAATATCCCCTAATACGTCCCCCCGAGTGGGGATTAACGACTTGCCAATTGTCCTGTATCTATCTATCTATATATATATATATATGCTCACCCCCCCCCCCATGATCCACATTTGGCATTGCTGCAGTGTATGGTCTCAGCTTTGGCTCCTTAATTTGAATGGCTGAAGTACTCTTAGCCCGTCTCCCAATGGAGGCTGTTAAAATAATAACAGCCATGGCAACGAGCGCCACGCCGAGCCCTATCGCTCCATCCAGATGGCCTACAAAAGTAGGTTATCTACCATGTGGCTACTTGGCCGATTTCATCGAGTCGAAAACTGCAGTTTCTTATGGGGTCCTTCTGCTGTCATTTCTGCTCTTGCCCATCTAAGGATCGGAAGTGTTCAGCTTCGAAGGCTTGCACTTCAAGATCAGCGCGAGCGAGGAGACCGTCCTCCAAGAGAATGAACTTGGCTTGATTATGAGTGAGAGGCATTTGCCATAGTTTTTTATGGGACAGTCCTTAGGACTGCTTTTACTCTCTCAGTTTTCCAAGCCGCAAGGAAAAAAAGCCTGCTGACCATGTACGCCTGAGTCTGCTTGCATATCGAGCTCATTAAGTTTCCTTGTGCTATACTGCATCCATTGCAAAGCTGGGCAACTTTCTGATATTCCAACCCCATGATCCACATTTGGTATGGCTGCAGTGTGTGGTCTCAGCTCTGGCTCCTTAGTTTGACCCCGCAGTGTGTAACTAATGGCTGAAGTACTATTAGCCCAACTCCCAATGGAGGCTATTAACATACTGCTTGCATCTCAAGCTCATCAAATTTCCGTGTACTCTGCTGCAGCCATTTCAATTTGAGGTAACTTCCTGATACTCCCCTCTGCTCCAATCATGGCATCTGTGCCTCCTCATCGTGCTGAGTCGCTGGCTCGTTCCTTCGACAACGCAAACCTGGACGGCAACTGCACATTGGAGGAAGCCATCGCCCACACCGACGGCATGAAGATCCTTTACCTGGAGAAGCCAATGGTGGTGAACAAGGAGCCCGGTTCCATTAAGCTAGGCGATTTGCCAGCTAAAATGGAAATCACCGACTCCGTGAAAAAGAAGACGCAGTTCCTCGATGTCATTGCTGACCACGAAGGGCCTATTGACTTGAATGCGGTAGAGACAATGTTCCTTCAACAACGGTATGCCGACCTACCCGAGCCCGTGCGCATGAAGGGGAACTTCCAGGCCCCCTACAACATGCAGATTTTCATCATCCCCAAGGAAGGGGGCAAGAAAGACATCATTAAGCACATCAAATTCCTAGAAGGTGCAAAGGTCCTCCACAGCTCCATCATCTCTATGTGCCAGGGCGTTCCACTCGAGATCGACTTGCAGGGCAAGTACCGCGATGGTGGTCGAGGACTACAGTACATGCTCGAGGGGCTGGGCGGCTTCCAGGTCCGCTACCAGAAGCTCGTGTCCGCCGGTGCCTCGAGCAAAATGCCCAAAGAGACGGAGGACATCCGCAAGGGCTTCGCCTATATCCGTCAGTTTGGCCCGGAAGAAAACTCCGACGGGCAATTCGCACAGTGTGGACGGAGGAGCAGGTCAACGATCCGAACGGCCCGCTCCACAAGTGGGACAAGGGGACCATCAAGGAGTTCCTGAGGTGCCTCGCGGACCAAGGCTCTCAAGCTAATACGATCAAGGAGTGGCCTCTCACCTTCAAGAGCATCACGCCGTGGGCTTTGAGCACTATCCTTGCACCGATTCTTCCTAATGTGATGTCCCACTCCGTTATCTGGATTGGCAAGTCTCAGGTGGGTAAAAGCCCGGTGTCCTACACCCTCTCATCTGTGGTGTCCGCATATTGGTTGATTCAGGAAGAGAAGGAGGGCAGCCCTTGCTTTCAGACATGCAACCACCTCGACTACTTCCGCAAGGAGAAGGGCAGGCGGACGAAACCGAGGGTGTTTGATGATGGCAACCTCAACCTGGAGCATCCCGCAGGTGTTAAGGCAGTGACGGAGGTGGACGGCGTCGACAGGAAGACAATGGCAAGATACAACGCGTCCTCGTACGCGAAGAATCAGCTATGCCAGATTTGCAGTAATCCCTATGACAGGACTGCAGAGCCGCCGATGGACGCCAATTCGACTCAGGACACCGTGACCTTCGAGCAGTTCTACAAGATCGTGCGCCCCTCCTTCCACAGGGACTTCGATGAAGAGGACCTTGTCGGTGTCTTCAAGCGATCCACCTTCATCGTCTTCACCGATGTGGGCATGTACGTACGTGTGCCAGGCACAGACCGCAAACCCGTTCCCCGGTATGCCTGGCCAGAGCGGGATATTGGCATGATCTCTCCATCTGCCCGACCCCTTTTGGCTGCCTACAAGCGCGGTAACCTCTCTCACTTGCCGGCAGATCATGACAAAGACATGCAGTGGAGTTTGAACTTGCTGCAGGCTGCGCTGGATGGCGAGGAGGTCCGCTATTGTGCGACCACCCGTGGGAAAGAACTGTTCTCAGGAAGGGAGTACGTCATTGAAGATCGACCAACACTCGCGGGCATTGAGGGCAAGACCAAGTACTACCTGGATGCTGGCGCTGCCGTCGACGAGCCGCCCACTAAGAAGCTTCGATCTGTGAAGTCCTCTTCCAACTTGCTCAAGGAGATCAAGAACGAGAATGCGCAGGATGCCAAAGACGAGCCGAAGGACGAGGATGAGCAGAAAACAAAAGAAGAACAGAAGGAGAACGAAGATGCGCAGGATGCCAAAGACGAGCCGAAGGACGAGGATGAGCAGAAAACAAAAGAAGAAGAGAAGGATGAGGACGTGCAGGGTATCAAAGAAGAACCAGAGGAGACGCATAAGGTGCACATCAAGCAAGAGCCAGTGGATCCCTCCTACTTTTCCAAGCCATTGAACCTGCGCCCTCTGGTGATCAACCTGTCAGACACGTCTGAGGATGCAAGTGACCCAGCCTCTGCTGCACCGGCTGCAGCTGATGCGGTGGACCCTGTGGAGAAGCTTTCTGACCCTACAGCTCCTCCAGCAGCCGATGTGGTGGATGAGACCAAGGTCGCCTTTGCCGGCTTCTTCTCCTGATGTGGTGGACCCTATGGACGAGATTCCCGACCAGTATGACATCGAGGCATACCGAACCCTTTCCCAAGAACTCGCGGATGCCATGGACATTGACGACAACTGAGCCGCGTGTGAGCCGCACTCAGCGGATTTTGTTCTAGAAGATAGAAATATAAACCCAATAGAGACATGGAGCTTGGCTAAAAAAACATTAGGTCTCCAGTGCCATCTTGCTTGCACATGTTGCTTGGAAGCGAATCGCATTGATCGTTTACGCAGCCATCTGCTTCAATCGCCTTGATCCTTTGTAGTTGATCTTGCCCATCATGCCAAAGAAGGTCATGAAGTCCGTGAAGGCCAAGTTCCCAGATCCTAAGCGGGGGAAGTGGCGCGTGCAGCGAAGGCCTGCCTCAAAGAATCCTGCTCCGGTGCCATATGTCCGCCATGGCATGCCCACTACCAAGAACAAAGGCCACAGAGCGCGCTGGGGGCGTTCGATTTTGACTTGGGAATCTTTGACTGGACAGCGTCTCCACAAGCAGCTCCACAAGGACAAGATCCTCACAGACTGGGAAGGCAGAACTTGCCCTCGATGTGGCAACGGCGTAATGGGGCCCCTGAAGTATTACCATGACAAGAAGATTTGGGCGTACCGGTGCAAGAAGCGTGCCTGCCACAAGCAACTTCAGCCTCATGACTACCATCCCATCTTCTTCATGTCTGCTGGCAATTCTTCAACTCCACTTCAGAAGCAGGTGGCGGTCCTCTTCTGCGCGGTGGTGGGGGTCTCGAGCAATGTGGCGCACCTGCTCCTGGATATGGACCACAAGCCAGTGGAGCGCATCTACCACAACCTGGAGGTCGCTCGCTCGCAGTACGTCACCCAGAAGGAGAAGGACATTGTCTTCGGCGGGAAGTGGGAGGACGTGGAGGTGGACGAGGTCGACATTGGCAAGTTGACCGACGAGAGCGTGGCGGGAAACCTCAACACGAAATGGGAACAGTGGGGTGGACTCGTGGAGCGAGGAAGGCCATCCTCGCTGGTGATGTTCAGGCTCAACCCCATCCTCACCAAAAAGAGATCTCCGGGGCCAGGTCCCATCAGGAAGAGGGACTGGCAGCCGATTGCGAAAAAGCACATCGCGGGCCGGAAAGTCATCCTCCACAGCGATGGGGCCAGAGCCTACAAGCTCAGGTTGCCGGACGTGAGGCATTGCAACGTCGTGCACAAGAAGAAGCGCATCGTCATCAACGGCAAGGCAAGTAACTCTGACCTAAACTGCTTTAACTGCCTCTTAAGGGATCTACTTGATTCTGTTATTCCTGTCTGTCAGGCCGTTTGGGTGAAGCCCCACTACACCAAGCAGTACGACGTCAAGCTGCCGGACGGGAAGAAGGTGCGTGTGAAGAGCGGCACCCAGATCATCGACCGGTTCTGGAACACCCTTCGATCTCACCTGAAACACACGAATAGAATCCCCGGCAGTCAGGTTCTCTTGCGAAAGCTGAGATCCGCACAGTTTGAATACTGGCATCGCCGCGCTAATATGTGGGAGGTGACCGGCCAGATGCTGCAGGCACTGCACAAGCAGTGATTACCGGATATGCGCTCGAAGGAAAAAGGCAAGAAAAATGCAAGCCAGCTCGTCGGAGTGACAAACATCTGCTACTGCCTTCCCACATCCACAATTTTAAAAAACAGTACAGCACTTTCTGCATGCTTACAGCACTTTCAGCCTCCAAAGCCTGGATTTTAGGGACAGTACAGCACTTTCTGCAAAAGTGCTGTACTGTCCCTAAAAAACCAAAAAAGTGCTGTACTGTCCCTAAAAAACCAAAAAAAGTGCTGTACTGTCCCTAAAAAACCAAAAAAAGTGCTGTACTGTCCCTAAAAAACCAAAAAAAGTGCTGTACTGTCCCTAAAAAACCAAAAATTCCTTGCCAGAAGGAGGTTTGTGTGCCCAAGACTGTTTTTGGAATGGTTTTTTAGGTTTTTTAGGGACAGTACAGCACTTTCAGCCTCCAAAGCCTGGATTTTAGGGACAGTACAGCACTTTCTGCATGCTGCTTCCATAAGTTCCATCTGCTCCCTGCTAACTTTTTTTCCAGAAGGCTGTCCACACAAACCATCTGTAAGCATCTGCTTCAAGTTGCCTAACATCTGTCCATCAAGAATGTCGCAATCTTTGACTAATCTACTCATCAAGAATGATGCTTGTTTTTGACCCAAGTTTCCAGGATCAGAATCTGATCCTGGAACAGGTGGTCAAAAACAAGCATTTTACATGTGTTTTTCCAGTGTTTTTTGCTTGCAAGAGGCAAAATGTGGATCATGGGGGGGGGGTGACCATATATATATATATATATATATACAGGCGACTGACTGACTGACTGGGAGTATTGACAACTTGCTAAGTGGGGTGGTCATCCAAGATCCAAGCAGAGGCAAGTCGGGTGGGATGACAGTGCAACCGGTGGACCTTTCTTTTCGTCCGACTGACTTAGGTCGAAGGTTCTGTCTTCCGATTCGAACGCGCGCTCCACCTCAAAAATGAACCGAAACAGAAATGGCTTGAGGGGCCACCGTTCAAGGTGATGATACTGCTCAAAAGCGCGTTCAAACGACAAGCCTTTGTCCAACAAGGGACCCAAGGGGTAGGGGCTATTGTGCATGTTTAAGGCCAAATAGGCTAGTCCGCAAGTGGGGTCTTTGAGTCGCTGGGTAGTCTGGGCCGCTCTGCCTGCCAGTCCAACGATGCCACCCGAGCAGTGTGCTGCGCCCAATCTGAGATGCAGACCTGGGCCGGGGATGTGTCGTTTTATGGAAAAGCAGAAAGGAAATCACGGATCTTAAGGGTGGGTTTGGGGTAGTTGCAAGGGAAACCAACGGGAAACCCAGGCCTTTTCGCGTGCACCCTTTTGGGGATTGTTTTGATTGGAAAGCGAAAGGAAGCCCACCAAAGCCCCAACGCCAAATGAGTTATAATCAAAACTTGGTGCAATCCAAATGAGGTCTACCCAAAATCCGTGGTAAAGAATCGGGGCGGTCTGCGCCGACAGTCGGGATTGTCCTTTGCCCTTCCACCCGTTGTGGCTCAAAGGCCTGTGCAATCAACCCTATTGGGTCTGTGAGGTCCCGGGTTTGTTGGTCCTTCTGAGTTGTGCCTCCCTTCTTTGGGTGGTCTGTAGGGTTCCAAAATGCGACGGGCATTCCCTTCCAACCAAGACGCGGTGGGGGTCTCGAGCTGAAGATCCCAGACCAAGATCTTGTTCCCCGCATCCCCGGAGGCCAAATACTTCCCGTCCCCGCAAAAGCGCAGAGCGCAGACTTGCGCCAGGTGCTTGGAGAGGCACGCCTGTCCAAGCTCGTCAAGTCAGGTACCAAAAAGCTTACGTACGGTTGCTCCTGTGGAATACAAATAGAACAAAGACCACGAAAGGCAGCGCCGCCCATCGATACGGCCCCGAAAGATTGGCGCGAGACATGTCTTTCCCTGGACACCTCCCACCCCCTTCCCCCCTTACCCCGACAAGGGGGGAATCTGAACCATCCCTTGATCTTGTGGACACCCTTTTCCTCTGGCCCGAAGACTTTCCTTAGGAGAAGTCGTCCTCCAACAAATCAAAGAACATTTTGCCCTTTTGCATCGCTTCTTTTGAACTACCTGTTGATTCTTTCGGGGTTTCACAAAACGTCCCAAGTCCTGAGCTGTGGTTCCAACCAGCCTTTAATTCAAGGGCCCAAACTGGGATCCAACAAATCGAATCCACAAATCGACATGCCCCCCAAGTAAGAACGAGAACCCCACCGGCGTCTTTCGGGTCCCGGGATTGTAGTTGGTGCACGGCGTGTAGACGGCCGTGGTGTTTTAAGCATGTTTTCTGTGTTTTTGCTTTTTTGTCTTTTGGCCCACGCTTCTTTTTGTGTTGGTGTGGAACATTTTGTCTAATTTAGCTGCTGTTTACGAGGTTTATGGGGTGGGGTGGGGGGGGAGGGAGGGGGCGGGGGATTGATGTCAAGGTTCGGCTGTTGAGCTGTTTTTTCGGGCGCAAGTTTTTGGAACACCCTGGCTTGTTTTGCGGTGGCTCCCGAGTCGGGTCATTTCTTGTTTCGGCGCAATGCACATGGCAAATGTCATGCTGGGTGTTTAGGGGGGTCGGGTAGGACACTGATGTCAATATGTTTTTTAGGCAGGACATTCCATTGTTTCGGCTCCATGTGAGCGCCATGGATGCGTATGATTTTGAAGTGTCTTTGTCTCTTGCGTTTGTTCTGCTTTTGCGTTTGGCTTGCGTACCACCCCCAAACCGGTCTGAGGTTCTCTTGAGGGTTTGGTCACTTGTCCCTGGTATTTGGACCATCATCTGGACGTTTTCTGCTCCGTTTCGCGTGGAGATTCTGTGCTTGAATTCGTAATTCTTGCCTCCATTGATTCCCACCGTGGTCCGATTTGCTTCACTTCTTTGACTGAACATCTTCCTTCGCTTGCGTCCGCCTGGTCTCGGTACGTTTGCACGGTTGGTTCGAAGCATGACGCAGTGCCGCACCAGACCAAGTGTTTCACAAAGACCTCTCGCTTTGTAAAGTCGAAGAAAACCTCGAAGGGGTTCGTCAGCTCGGAAGTGGGCACACAGCGGATCGACCGCTGGCGGAGAACGCTGAAAGCGTTCTTGCCTCCGAGGCTGGCTGCAAAGTGTCATGACAGCGATGGGGACTCGAGGCTGAGCCCCTTGGTGCCAGATTTGGTTTTCCCAGTGGTGCTTTCGTATTCGGATGCCGCAGATGTCAGCAGATCGATTCCAATATGAGCTGGAAAAGCTGCTGTAGAAAGTAGTTTGGCGCAAACTTTTGGACTTCAAAAACGTGCGTTGCGCAAGAAAAAAAAGCAGTGCGTGCTGCGAATCCCACTGTAACGCAGACACAGAACGTTGCATGCATGCCCGAAAAATCCCTTGAACCAGCCACGGCCGTCTACACGCCGTGTACCTAGTTGTAGTTTGTTGAGAGGAAAACAAAAGAAAACCGAACATTTGAATAAGGGTCCTCCCGTGAACACAGATACGGACCAGACCATTCGTTTCCCAAACGTGGGAGAAGTGGAATTGGTGTTGTCAGCGAAGCCGAAGGAAAGCCCCGCATTTCAGGTTGCTACATTTGGACCAAATTGAAATATTTTTTGTGGGAAACTTGGGTGGCTTCTGATTGTTGCTCTCCCCAAACAAGCTTGGGGGACGTGGCACCTTCTCCACAACGCCCTCCGCGCCCCCAGCAGCATCCGTGTCGAAGAGCAGGATGTCGAACCTCGCTGATTCCCATGTGTTTTCGAAGCAACCCAGGACTAATAAACAAATGGTCGATTACTTTATAGGGGGTGTCCCGTTGATTCATCCCGTCCAGGGTCGACATTGGGGGTGGGAATCTTATGCCCGTTAGATCAGGGTCATGGCCCCAAAATCGCCCCCCTTCAGAGGGACGGAGTAGTCTTCGCAAAGGGAAAATGCCACCCCAAAGGCAGTCAAGAGTTCACCCCCATCCCGCAATTCCGAGCTTTAAGGAGGTCTGCACGATTATGCAATCTGGGGGTCTTGGAGACTCCAGGCTCCGAAAGTTGTGGGAATCTTTGAGCTGTTCATCGTGCGAGCAAACTGCATGGGAACCACAAACAAGAAAAGCCGCGAAAAGGACCTCGGGCAAACATCCAGAGACGCCCGCAAACCATTCATTCAAAGATGCTCTCCTAAAAAGTAAAACGAAGAAAGCCCCCGAACATGTCTCAACCACTCTTGCTTAGAAGCCCCCATTTTGGTTTAACAGCTGATCCGTGGCAGCTGGACGCTGAAGGCGATTTTGGCCAAGAAGGCCAAGAAACCCCAAGACGCCCCAAAAGGCGAATCCAGGGACGGCAACAAACCACCCAAAAATATGAAACCCAAGCCAAAACAGCAACAAAACAAAAGAAGAAAACAACCAAAAAAGAGTATAAACCCCAAAGAAGCCCACAAAAACACACACAAAAAACCATGAAAGCCAATACCAAAAATCCCCAAAAACACCCGAGCTTCAAGACCTGCTCCGCGTTCTTTGCCTTCCGGGGCGCTGGGTGGAGGCCACGCCGCCCACGGATCCGTCGGGCTGCTCCAGCGCCACCGCCAGCCGCGCGGAAGGCAACGAGGCCAGGGCCGTGGGGCGCCTCGCCACCGCCTCGAGACGAGAGCCACGGAGCCGGGCGACTCGGCTTTCGAAGGCGACCAAAAAAGACCAGGTGACCGTGTAAAAAAGACCAAAAGGGAGCCAAAAGGGAAACCAAAAGGGAAACCAAAAGGGAAACCAAAAGGGAAACCAAAAGGAGATCCACCCCACCGCCTTTTGCTCCTTTTGCAGGGAAAGCCACGAGGGGAAAAAGCGCGATTTTCCGAGAGCCCGAGGCAGGGCGGACTCAAAGGAAGACCTGCAATCAAGATTTGAAGCACTCCCAGGAAAATGTCGAGCGAGTCCCTCTGGATGTACCAAATACGTTAAATACTGAACAGCCACCGAGCAAAATATATTCGACACATCAAATTCCCCCAACCCCACCCCCTGGATGTGCGCCATGGACCTTGCCGCACCTCCGGCTTGCTCCACCGCAGCGAGGCGGATGCGCAGTCCACGCAAAGGAAGCTCTTCTTGCCCGTGGCCATGATGATCCTTGGGGGCTTTCCAGACAGAAAACTACTCGAACGAGCACCCCGCTTAGTAAGTGCTTCATCTCCCCGGTGAAAAGGTCAGCCAAGCAGCATGTAACGCATTTATGACCTTGGAGATGTCAAAAACTTGTGAAGTGGGGTGGTCATCCAAGTACATATCAACTCCTTATGCGGGCCATGGTCATGGCTTCCTGAAGAAGAATCCTGACTACTGTTGGCTAAAATCTATCTTGAAGGGGGGATGACTATCTCTACCCACCCCAAGTAAGGGATCTTTTAACCATATCACATGAGCCGCGGTCAAAATATGCCAAGGGACACGGAACATGTCCCAGTATTGTTGGACTCCCCCTGTGTCCCTCCCAAATGCACCATGATAGACAGCTGGATATTTTGATTCAACCTACATGTATGCTCAGATCCCCAATAAACATATAAATATAGAGAGAGAGAGAGCTGGACTGCAAAATAGAATGTCTGGAAATACCTGCACCAAGTCCAACCCAGAATCTGCATATGGGCCCATGTCAACTCTTGGGCTCACCCGAAACCTGGACTGTTGATTCTACCATCAAGGATATTCAGGTTTACATCACCGCAACATCCGGTTTTTCCCTTGGGAGGCCTTCGCCATGGAACGAAGCCGCGCCAAAACCCCCACGACCTTCCGTCGACTTCCGCCGCTTCCGAGGCGCGCGGACTCGGCGGCGTCCAGCCACCCAGCGCCCACCACGAACTCCTTGAGCTCCACCGGACCGCTGAGGTCCCCGCCCTCCAAACCCAGGCGCCTCGCTGTCTCGGTACCCCGCAAAAAAAAACACCTGCCTTCGTAGAAACCGAAAGAGGACCAAGCGAATCTATGTCCAAAACGACCCAAACAAAAAGAAGAGTGGTGTTTCTTGTTTGGGCTTCCTTTTGAGACCAAAGCGGTACCACTGGTAGTCACCATTCCGTGGGCTATACAGTGGAAGGAGCGCCCGCTGGGACTGTGAATACTGGGATAAACCACTTACCAACTGGTGCAGGATTTGTCCATCCACGGTATGCCTGGCTAATAAGTCCCCAATTGGATCCGCGCAGGCTAAATCCCATTTAGGGGACTCAAGCTGGGATATCAACCACTTCGGCGGGTCATCCGAGTGAAGCGTTTTTTTTTTTTTTTACAAAAAGGACATGCAGCACCCATCATTCTAGCACAAAAGCATAGTGTCCGGATGAAGTCGCGAAATACAAATCAACTGTGTGAGGCTGCAAGTCAGGGTCCTTTGCAAAAGCAAAGCAATAGGTTCATGGGTGTCGATCACTGCCCTTTCTTTGATACCGTTGAGTAAGATGTTCCCTGCGGTGTCACTCTAGCACAAAAAGAAGCAACGTGCTGTAGGTGTTTGTCAACATGGTGGATCCCACAAAATAGGTTTCTGTTGGTTTTTCTGCACAGCAGCCCTCAAAGGGTAATACTTTCCGAGGAATCGCCACAAAATGAAGAAACCCGCTGCTAAACGAAGAACCAAACACGTGACCGTTGGATTAAATCTGAAGTTGGCATTGCCAAGGGTGTTTCGACCACCCCATCGGCTTCCAGTACGCTCTTGGATGACCACCCCACTTAGCAAATGTTTATATCCCCAGCTAACAAGTCCCCATTCCGTGGGATTAATCCTACATATGCAGTAACCTAGGGGGCTGATTCATCAAACCTGCGTGTGTGTGTTTGTTGAGGGTACCGCTTTTTGGCTGGGGAAATCAACAGGGAAACCAACATTTTTTTTGAAAAACCCCCACCACTTGCCAAACCGAAACCCCCGCCTCGCACAGTCGTCCAGGGACACCACCCAGGCCTCTGGAGGTCCAGCGAAGCGCTCGGTGTGCGCGAGGATATGTTGGATGCCCTTGCCCACCGTGGCCTTCAGAGTGCCTCACAACGGACCATTGGAGGACCCAAGACGAGACTCCCCTTCTGTTGAGGTCGCAGTATATTTCACCAAGGCCAAAAACAACCTCCATTGGGTTTCCCATTCTAAGGGGTTGCATTCTTCCTCCAACCCCCCCCCCCCGTTCCGCGCCTGTGGCCGCCGCGCCGGCGTCCGGCGCGGCTGCGTAGCCGCCCGAGGCGGGTGCCGGACCCGAGGCGATGGCGACGGTGCCCTCCGTGCCGCCGTAGATGAGGCAGCCCGACTTCCCGTCGCACGCGAGGCCTTCAGTGAAGAAAGGCCGGGGAGGAAGGGCGAAAATGACCTCTTCGAAGGGAATAAATGTATACGATATATTTATATATAATGCTTGTGTTTTGGAATGTAAATATGTAAAATGTATTCCATGAGCATACAGATGTATATATATATATATGTCTACGTATATGGTGTGTATAACATACATCGATATATATATATATATATATATATACATATATACGTGTTGCCACAAAGATCGGGATACCTATCCTAATGCATCAGGGAGAAAAAGGATTCGCAGCCGGTGGTTTGGCAACTTTCAGGGTCCTTTTCCTAAGTCTTGTCCTTTCAGGGTCCTTTCTTATCGAGAACATGGAGCTGCACTCGATGTCCAAGTTGATCAATCGGCCAGGCCGACATTCAGCACCTAGCCGGCAATAGGTGTCCTTATCGTTGAGGGTTTGAGGTAGCCATAGGGTGTGTTTCTATATATATATATATACATACATATGTGTGTGCGTGCGTGTGCACTCCTGTATTCAAGCATGCATTCATGTATGCATGTATGTATGCATGCATGCATATGTGTGTGTGTATGTATGTATGTATGTATGTATGTATGTATGTATGTATGTATGTATGTATGTATGTATGTATGTATGTATGTATGTATGTATGTATGTATGTGTGTGTGTGTGTCTGTCTGTCTGTCTGTCTGTCTGTCTGTCTGTCTGTCTGTCTGTCTGTCTGTCTGTCTGTCTGTCTGTCTGTCTGTCTGTCTGTCTGTCTGTCTGTCTGTCTGTCAGTCTGTCTGTCTGTCTGTCTGTCAGTCTGTCTGTCTGTCTGTCTGTCTGTCTGTCTGTCTGTCTGTCTGTCTGTCTGTCTGTCTGTCTGTCTGTCTGTCTGTCTGTCTGTCTGTCTGTCTGTCTGTATGCATGCATGCATGCATGCATGTATGTATATGTGTGTGTAGGTGTGTGTATGTGTGTGTATGTATGTATGTATGTATGTATGTATGTATGTATGTATGTATGTATGTATGTATGTATGTATGTATGTGTATGTATGTATGTATGTATGTATGTATGTATGTATGTATGTATGTATGTATGTATGTATGTATGTATGTATGTATGTATGTATGTATGTATGTATGTATGTATGTATGTATGTATGTATGTATGTATGTATTCATGTATTCATGTATTCATGTATTCATGTATTCATGTATTCATGTATTCATGTATTCATGTATTCATGTATTCATGTATTCATGTATTCATGTATTCATGTATTCATGTATTCATGTATTCATGTATTCATGTATTCATGTATTCATGCATATATATATATATATATGTGGTCCTGTATATGTGTGTGTGTGCATGTGTGCACCAGCACTGGAAAATGGCCGGAACTGCCGTCATATCCGAAACCCTCCCGGCCCATACATGGAAGCCAACGAGAACGCAAGACCATTCTCCCTCTCTAACAGGAATCCTTCCTTAGATTTCGTGGCAAGGTAAACAGGATAAGGAGCATTTATTTGGGCCCATGACTGGAGTTTGCAGGACTGCTGGCTTCAAGGACCTCAGAAGGAAAAGAAACGCCCTTTGATTTATTTGAGCCCTAGTCGATGTCAGTTTGGATATATGCTGGAGCTCGTTTTGATCAGGAAGCGCTCAGGCAGGAGTTGGCCAGAGATTTGGGCCGCAAGCTTAAGACGGGTCCGCCTTGAGCTGGTTGCCAGCAGCACCACGCATCCAGCCTCTCTCAAGCCCGCAGCCTCCACCACCCCGTCCTTTGGAGAAGCACTTGAATGCTATTGGCAGCATGCTGCGCCGCACGCAGCCGGCGCGCGTCGCCGCTGCACGCTGGGTCGAATAAAGAGAAAGTGCTCCCCAACGCGGGCCGTGCTACAAGCAGACAAGTCGCAGCAGGCTGGGCAAAATCAATGGCGTTGCCTTCATATCAGATCGCTCCTACATGGAATCCTGGTGGCTGCACAACCTGGGCATGACAGGTCGAACTGATACCAGCAGAATCCTTCTACCTAGCAACATTGTATAACAGAGAACCTGTGATACCAATAAGCTCCAGATCATGGCAGGATTGCCAAGAAAATCGCGCTGATGCCTGTGGGCGGCGTCAACATTTCTCACTATGAAGCTAAGAACACCAGCAAAACAAAGCACTGACCTTCATTGGCTGCCTCAATCCAAGTCAAAAAAGAAAGTGACCAAGCATCCGCACGAGCACTCATGCAGAGTCTGGTGTATAAAAGTGCGAGCGCAAAAGGTGAACGTAATGCCACCAGTCCACCAGTCCACGCGATCAAATCCGAAGCGAAGAGAAGCGAGATTGGAATCCAAACCTACTTCAAGAGGGCAAGCAGACGAGCCCATGGCCTTCTATCATATGCAGCCCACAGGTCAGAAGCGAACTTTTTGGCGAGTAGGAAGCATGCAAATCAAGATTTCCACACCGGCGGCTGAAAGCCGATTTCATAAAAACTCCCTCCAGGGAGCGGGGATTCTGTGCGACGATGATGGAGGGAATAGCATCCAAGTCAGCCAAAGGAGCAGTCCTCGATCAGCAGAGAATTACTGCTGGTGACGTACCTGCAGATTGCAATCTCAGCAGTGTGAAGAAGTGCACTCGCGTGCCTGATAAAGTGGCACCTGTGTTGCTACAAGAGGCGAAAAACCAGCGAAGTGGTGGCTCGATTGGTAGGGAGACCCACATCTAGGTCACCATGTGCCGGTCTGAGCCGAATCCCTCCCAATAAAGGACCTACATCATGGCCACAGATCCAGCCGCGCCACAGTTCAAAGGGCCCTGCGTGCCATCCATCACCCCCGCCAAGTTGAGGCCGTCAGCTGTGACGTCCCAGGACAGGAGACGGCCGTCCAGACACACGGAGACCAGGCGCGCGGCGGAGGCCCAAACCAGACCCACCTGGCAGTGCTTCAACTTAGGGCAACAATCTCAGGGGTCCCACCCAGTTAGGGGTCAACCCTGCATAAGGGGCACGTCTTAGCGCCATCATCGGAGGGGTGGTACATTCTTTGTTGATCACCCCCCAAAGATCCTCCCCTGTACTATGAAGGCCTATGGTGTGTGGCTTATATTGCCGTAGCACGGCTTTTGTTTATGTGACTCAACTCGTTGTTGCCCGTCTCCCAGCTCAACAGAGACACGGTATTTGAAAAGGGGACAACCAGGTTTCACAAGAGGCACCGAGGAACTGAAGAAGAAGGAGACTCATGTACTTGCCATCCCTGAACGGTCATCTCGCAGCAGTTCGCTTTCTTTTGGTTACTTGCTCCCGCGCGAACTGCAAAGCATTGCCAGACACTAACTGATTGATTGCTGAACGCACAGTCAAGCAGCTGGAACCTAGGTAAACCTGCCCCTTAGCCACTGCTCGCTTATTGCCAGAAAGAACCAGCCACAAGTTCAATCCGGGTTTCATCTTCTCACGCTGTTGAACCGCAAAACTTGCAGTTTGCAGAACAACCAGCCGCGTGTGATCGCCATGAGGCATCTTCTTTGTGCCTTTGCTGGGAGTTTGAGATACCTACGTTCTCCTGCAGATTTGGGATTGGAGCCCATACATTTGTGCACAGAGAAGCTCTTGCTTAAAGAAAACCCTCCCTTGGCACCCATGCCGCCAAGCGGAAACAACTTGAAAGAAGGAGACCCTTTCTTTTGAGGTCGTGGTTATCGGAGAAAACCAACCCTTGAACTTCAGAAGCCCAAAACAAGGAAAACAACAAGCAAAAGGCCACGGTCAGTCCTCGCTGCTCGACGAACTAATTTTCTCTGAGGCCTTGCAAAGCGGGGCCTTGGCCACCATAGAGACTGGGTGTCTTTTTGGATACGCTTCCCTCTTGCCTCTTTGGATGGGTTCCCCATGTTGCCTCCACAAGTGCCTGATGTTTGGTGGGAACCCATTTGGACTCGTCCAAAAAGCTGGCCCCTGGCTCCACCTGCATGTCCGCCAAGGCAGTGCCTGCTGCGGCCTCCGCCACCTGCGCACCCTGGCGCAACGAGGCCGTTGTCACGTAAGGTCCATTGGTACTGTGGATTGACGAAATCCGCTTTGCACCCCTGTGAAACCAAGCGAAACCACTGATTGTTGGTGTTTATATGGAAATCGTCATTCCAGGGTTTGTTAGGTGGTAGCGGATTTTCACAGTCGCACAGCAAATCGCATTCGGACAACATGTCCAACAATCATGGTTAATCCCAAGTTGCACCGAAAAGCTCCTGGTGCAACTGGACTTGTCTCCCAACAGGGGGACCCCATCAAAGTATGGGAGGTCGTGGTTCTGAGGTATTTTGAGAATATCTGCACATGTTTGCTCGCTAGCTTGCTTCAAATGGAAACAAACATTTTCCCCAAAGATTGAAAGGCTATGACTTGTTAAAGATGTCAAACCAAATGTTGACACCCTCGAAAAGGTCTTTGCAAACTCGACAACTAGACCCCTCCGCCCTCTCTTCGTTGTCTTCCCCCCCCCCAACCACCGCACGGTGGGCACGGGTCCACCTTTCTTTAGGCAGCCACAAAGCACAAAGAATCATGCTTTTCTCCATGTCCCCATGAAACCCGCCCTGTCCCTTCCCCTCCCACGTCCCCCTCCTGCCTTCCCCCACTTTTCTCAATTTTCCCGCCTTCTCCCGGTCCCAAAGCCTCAGCTTCTTGTCCCCCCCGGCCGTGGCCACGCGCCCGCTGTCGGGGGACCAGGCGCAAACCCAGAAGCTCCCCGAGACGTTCGCCGGCTTCTCGAACTCCTTCTGGAACTCCCCGTCCTTCCGAGTCCCGAGTCCCGAGTCCCGAGTCCCGAGTGGCGAGTCGGGATAGAAACGAGGTCGCACTGCAACAACCTGAAGCCATCCCTCTTTGCCTGAAAGAATTTGAAAAAATTGATGAGGATGGGTTGGCAACACCTGTTCTGTGGTTAGCCTTTCTGGTGGCATCAAACCATTTTTGGTTGAGTTGTTGGTTCGGGGTTGGCAACCAAGATTCGCCTCAAATATCCTGGGACAAGCTGCCCTTTGTCTGGCTTGCCCCTGTTTAAGCCGCTTGCGTCAGGAAACGGCCGGCAAGAACATCAACAATCGTCCCCGCAAAGAAACGCCGGTGAACCCATGGGTTTCCCGTGCGAACGCCGTAAAAACCCTTTGTTGGCCAGCGATTTGTTAAAAAAAAACACCAAGGGATCCCGCGCATTGGGAGCGCCTGAGCACTTGGCTGGTTGCGGTCGGCTTCGGGCAGGATCAAAGTGAGGGCCGGTTTCCCTTGTTTATATTAAATAGAAACCGTCCTATGCGCTGAGATGTTCACGCCTCCACGCCTGGACCCTCAAACTGGCAATAGGCGTGACTTCCCGCGTAGGGTGCAAGTACACTTCTGCCAACCAATCTTCTGTTGGTTCCCTTTAAAGCCACCAACACCGGAGTACGCCCCAAAAGAGACGCGCCCGGGAAAAAGAAAGCGCCGGCGAGATGCGCGTCCTTGCCCTCGTAGAGACACAGCTTGGAGTCCGAGCCCGCGGACACGAACCAGTTCCCGTCCGGGGAGAAGCGCACGCAGTTCACGAAGTTGGTGTGGGCGGAGTGGGACCTCGGGTCTAGACCACAGCTTTGGCTCTTGGGGGGGAGGTTTTCGGGGAGGGGAGAAGAGTTTTGGGGGAGATTGGGGGGGTTGTTTGGATGACCAGTTGCCAGCGAAGTGCTTCAAGCCCACAATGAAGTCTACGACTCACCTAGGAGACTTCGCTGGTTGGAAACCCAATCCAATGGGTTGGAATCGGACCTGTTGCGGGCCTCGGGGCCCCAAAAATCCCCATCGACCTCAAGGATCTCAAGCCTATGTTCGGGGAACAATTCGGACAACCTGAACTTGGCTGGACACCAAGAAACAAAGCGAACACAAGGAGCAAAGTGAACAAAGTGAGAAACTGTTGGAAGGCCTAGCCAAAAGACATGAGGTTTGGGATGGAAACGGCAAAGCTCATTGTCACCCGGATTCCTCTGGCAGATAGAACGAAAACAGGAAGTGGAATCCCGTATGCTTCCGCCAAATTCAATTTTAGAAAGGGGCCCTTTCTTTGTTTGCTTCTTGGGGATTCAAACCGAAAATCGGCCCAACTTCTAAGAGGCCTCCAGTTCAAGCCAGTGCTTCCAGTCACCACAACCATCAAGGCCAAAATGTGAAGTCCATGAAAACACCATGCTTGTTTTTTGTTCTCTCACCAAAAAGAACAAAGAAAAACCTTCCAAGGTGAGTGAGTTCCCCCTCCCCCTCCCCCTCCCCTCCCCCCCCCAAAAAAAAGAAAGGAAGGAAGGAAAGAAACGGGGGCACCGAGCCATCCAAAAGCCTCCCGGCCTCGCGAACTTGAAGGGCGGGCCCTGGTGGAAGTTCACCTGCATGTCCTTCGCAGCGAAAAGAACCCAAAGCTCCACCTGAGGGCTGCCTGAGATGGAGCCCGGGACAGGGAAGAAGTAACCAAGCCGGGAACCGGGGGTAAAGGCCCAAAGACCTCAAGCACACTCAAAGATATCTCCAGGCAACCGTTCCATGTACTCAAACCGCCTGGATTAAACCCTTTGGCTTGGCCGAATTGCTGTTTCAAGCCTCATGACTTGGTCAACTTGTTTGTGTTAAGTTTTTTTGCAATAAACCGCTCAACCACGCGTTCCAACACAAACTGCTTCGCACGTTTCCCCTTCTTCTGGATGATCTTTCCGTGGTATGCGCTTTTCAGAAACTCATTTGGCTGTGTCTCCAAATAGGGATCCACCAATCATGTAGCCTGGATCGACAGTTGCTGTTTTTTCTTGCCGCTGTGACTATTTTTGGGATAAAGTGTCTGGAAAAAGTCAATCCCTCCAGAACGGTCTGCTTATATGGGAGCGTCTCCAATTGAATTGAACAACCCCTTGTGGCCTGTTTTTGAACAGAGGCCAAGAGGAACCATCGGGCCCGAAGCCAGCCCATGAGGCCATAAGGTCCTCCCCTCCGGTGACAACCCGGAAGGGCCGTTGGGACCGGAAGGAGATGGAGTTCACCTGGACACTCGGGCGCCAAAGGCGCTTGGCCGGAGGTGAAAGCCTTGTGGCCATGGTTCCCTTCATGCAGGGTCCTTGGTGATTCCCTATTTCTGGTTTGTGAGGCCATAGTGATTTGCCCAGATCCCCTCTTATGTATTCTTCCAGCTGGTTGTTTGAACGGAGAAGAAGCCAATCCAAATGAGGGCCGGTCAACATGTCCAGCAGTCTATGGTCCAATTGGGAGGGACATGGGGGACCACTAAAATGTCCACACACAAAAAGACAGGGTGCGAGCTCTGCTCTTTCCATCTCCTCTTCGGGAACAAGTCAATTCGACTGTGCCGATGGCATTGGATGGCTAGCCCTCAAGCCAAAGAAGTTATCTGCCTTGGGTGGAAAACGAGCTCAAGCCATCTATGATGCATCCGTTTGCTGGAGATCCAACGCATATTTCAGGTCTTGGGGGCTCAAACAAAAGCAGGAGGGTTAAAAGAGTGTCGGGGGTCCTTGTCTTTTTGTATAATTTGCAGAAGATATATATATATATTATATATAAAGAAGTAAAGGCAGGTCCAGCCACCAAAGATGACAACCTACCCAGACCCATTGGCATTGTTTTGGTGGACTTCCAGTTGCCAGCGAAAGTTCAGCCCGCAGATCTCAGTTACGTAGGCGACCATTCTCCTTTCAGCTTTTGATGGGTAAGTATTATACACTGAAGTTGAATCACTGTGAAAGATGCTGGCCAGTCGTCATCATGAAACGGCAGTCGAAACTTTAGCCGTGAATGCGTGCAAAAGAGCATCTGCTTGTCACGCATCTGAAATAACCTTGTCAAATGATTCACCCCTGCAGCCAGCTGTTGCCTACCTATATACCCACGGATGGTCATCTACGCAGTCCTTCAAACTGCCAGTGAGTAGCACATGCTTTCGACTAGAGCACTGGCCACTTGCACCTTGATGCTCGGATTCCGTGCCGCAAACTGCAAACCCCTGCTCAGGCCGAAAAAAGAAGAACAATTAATTGCACATCAAACATAGGCAGTTGTGCTAGGGGTCACTAGGACCTTGCACTCAAACATAGGCAGTTGTGCTCGGGGTCACTAGGACCTTCACGACGGATCGTTTTGCCCGGATCGGCAAGCTCGAAATTGCGCCAGACATGGACGCCGGGCCTGCTTCGTGTGCCCGCCCACCTCCCCGGTCTTGCTGCCCGTGTCCCAGATCATCGCCTGCCGGCTTCCCATCGAAACTCTGCAAATGATCCGAGATGGCGGTTGCCTCCCCATGGAAACCAAAAGGAAGCCGGCCACTTTAGGGGCCTGTCCCCCTATTTTCAGAGCCCAAAGTCAGAAACCCAACACCAAGGAAGCCTCGCCAGACGATCGCGCAAGCATCATCGAACGCCATGCGGGAGCGCCACCAAAAAGAAGACACATCTCCAAATCGGGGGAGGGGGGGGAGGGTGGAAACGGCAAACCATCGCAGGAATAGTGGCCCTCCGTTGCTGGTTCTGAGGTAGGGCTTTCTACTAGGCCCAAAAAGGAACACGGTCTTTGTTGCACAAAGATCGACGCATTAGATGAATCTCCCCTGTGGAATCGAAATACCTGGGCTCCAGTTCAATTTTAAGAGACTAGAAGAGAATCCCCCGAGAAGAATCACAACCCCGAAAGAAGGCCGGGGGGGGAGGACCATCCCCCCAACAAGAGAAAGTAGCCTTCGTTTGTTGAAGGGCAGCACCCAAAATAACTGGGGAGAAACGAGCTGGTAACTTCCCTCTATTGTGGTTTGGAGTCGTGACTTGTCCGATTTACCTGCTGCAAGAACCGACAACCGACACTTCGAAACCAATCCAAGCCACCAATCCAAACCATCAACTAAGGGTTGCCCGAAATAGAAGCAAAACACAAGAAAAAGAAGACGATGCGTAGTAGGCAAGCAGCCACTTTCTTTTTGGTAGTTCCCTGGGTGACCTACTTTACAGGGAAATGGAACTACTTTGGAAGGAAAAAAAAACAAAAGAAATGCCGATTTCTTACAGGACCAATCCCACAATCCAAGATCCCAGAAGGAGACCACAAGTTGGTTAGAGGGCAATGAGCCTCAAGGCCAACAACAACAGTACCAAACCAAAAGGCGATGTTTAGAAGCACCAAAAAAGGGAGTGGTTTCCGCTTGGTTTCCCTTTAAAATTGCAGTCCTTGTCCTGACACTGCACTACCACAACTTTACCCCTTTACGACTATGCCCCTTTAAACCAACCACTCGTCATGAGGCTGTGTGCTCCTCCAAGGCCGCTTCCTGAGTGCCCCAACAAGACCATAAGAGGCAGGGGGTATCCAACTTTGCATTTAGACACAAAAGCTGCCATCTCAACCAAACTCCTCGGATTCCGATCGTTTAAAATCCACGGGACGAAAAGAAGAGATCCACAAAGCGAGCACCGCTAGGATTTACGACTAAGCAGGACGGTGATCGTGGCCACTAGAGCGCGCTAGCCCTACTGGCTGCCACCAGGCCACTGCCGCACGCACTTCTTTGCCATCTCCCGCGGCCACCAACCCTCAGCTCGCAGAAAGAAGAAAAAAAAAACAGACCTCCTGAGTATTTCTTAGTAGGGCAAAGGAATCTCCCGTGTTCTGTTCTTTTCCACCAGGCTGGCTATTGTCGTGGCTTCTTTTTGGGTCGAGATTCAATTCAGGTTTCTCTTGCAATGAAATGGCCCTCCAGTCTTGTTTCACCAGGTCGGTGCATTCAAGACCTCCAACTAGGGCGGGGCCTGGAAAAGAGTCGCTTATTTTGAAGCGTCTGCAGGTCTGGGTCACAAAAACATCTGGGGGCCGGGCCCGTAAAATTAAGGAAGGACTTTCCAGGGCCCAACCATTGAAGCATTGGCCGCCAGTTCGGCCGCTTACTTCCGACTAGTAAGACTCACTTTCTCTTCTTCCTTGCGGGGTCTTTGAGTGATAAGTCCCAGGGATTTCACTGTGCTATTGGGCAACTAGCCAGAGTGAACTTCCCCTGAAACAATAAGTCACCTGAAAGGGGATCAAACAGTGATGATTCCAAACCACACAAACACAATCCTGTCGGGTGCCTCTGGCCATGGGAATCGCCAAGGGTCTGCCGGAGTCATCACTCCAGGCGACGTCTTTCACCGTGCCATCCTCACGTGCGGGAAATCGCGGTCTCTCAAAAAATGAGGGAACCCCGAACTGGTTGGCTTCTCTTCATGCGCGAAGCACTCACAAATTGAATTCACATACTCGAGGACCTAGTGGCTTTGTCCGCGTCTCTATGCTTGAAGGCCATGTGTTTGTTTTGGGATTTCCTGTCTTGGCACAATCGAGACACGAGGAAATGGTGTCAAAAAAGGCCAAAGGGGCCAAAGGGGCTCAAACAGTCAAACAGGGCTCAGTCGACCTGGTGTTTTGGGGTGGAAGCCAAAGGCACCTGCTTCTGGCCCAAGGAGCAAATCCAAAGGAGCAGGCCATGTTCCCCCTTTGTCGGGTAAGAACCCAGGTGCCTGGTGACCCACAGCTTATAGTCGGGTTCTTACTCTTTGGAGCGACCGAGACGCCCAAAGCCTGTACTCGTTCTTCTGCGCGTGCTCGCCCTTGGCGCCCCAGAGCCTCAGCCCGCCAGTCACGTCTCCGGAGGCGACCCACTGGCCGTTGGGGGACATGGCCGCGCAGGTGGTCTTCTTCACATGGCCTGGACCGCGGGGCCCAAAGCAAGTGACTTGGTCGATGATGAGTCACAGGGCAAATCAGCATTTAGGGAACTAGGGGAAGCCATCATGTACCCCTGGGTACCCTAAAGATCGCCTATGTTTAGCCCTTTTAAGGGCCATGCTCAATAGCTACATTGGAGGGTCCTGGGAGAATTCGCTTCTCCAGCATCATTCGGCGAGGTCGATCAAACATCCTACACACCCAGGCCTGATTTGGCCTCAATCAAGCCGGTCCCTGATCCGTTACTCCGTGGACGTGCTGGAGTTCACGTGGCTTGGCTTCACGTCCCCTTCGAAACCCCCATGACCCGCGCATCAACAATGGCCTGAACAAGCAGTCAAAATCACATGGTCAAATCCTAACCTAAAACAATGAAATCTTTGTTCTAAATTGTCATTGTGCAAGATTGGCAAAAGCCCGCTGGGCCGCTGCCATCCCAGCAATCAAGCAGCTTTGCCCAAACGCCCCAACCTTCCAGCCTTAGCTCAAGCTCAAGCCTTCCCCCACCTTCCTGACCGAACGCTCCTTCTATTCCAGGAAGAAACAAAAGAAAAGAAACGCAAAGCCGCAAAACCAGCCCACCGCACCAAACCCACCGTTGGCCTTTCCAGCAGAACACCTCCTCAGGCTTCTCAGAGTTCGCCACGGGGCGCCAAATCACGTTGGTGCCGCTGCAGTACAGCAAGCGCTCCCCTCGCTTTCCGCGGGCTCGAACTCGACTTGCGGAGACGATCGGCATCGCTCACCCCAAGGTGGAGAGCCTTGAGTTTCCTTCCGGGGGAGAGAAAAAGGGGAGCAATTGGATCTACGTCCCCCATTCCCCAAGGTATGTGGAGCAGGTAGGTGCCCTTTATGGTTGAAACTTATTGGACACACGAAGCAAGGCACCCAAAGGGGGTACCCTTCGAAGGGAGTTTCCCTGTTTGAAAAAATGCAATGTAAGCCTTAAACGAGGGAACATAAGGCTGTCTTCGGCTGCGAAACTAGGGGGGAGTACCCCCAAGACACCGAGAAGGACCCTGGAAGATGGGCTTCCGGACACCATTGAGTGGTTCATTCCCCATCGAGCCACGACTGAGGCCTGAGGAGACTCGAATCAGAACGTGAAAAGCTAAAGCCCTGTATTCCACAGGCATAGAATTGTGACTCACTCCGAAACAAGGAAACTGCACACAGCCTGGGGGCGTAAAGACCTGCGCGATCCCCCACTTCTGACGGTATAATAACAGTACCCGACTGGGAAGAGTCCAAATGACTGATTCAAACACCCCAACCGTCTTGACCATGCCAGTTGGTGGTTTTGGAGACCAAGGGGAGACTTGCTAGTTCTGTTAGGGCGCTTGCAATCCAGGAAAAGAGGATCGCTCCAGAGTGGGCTTGGTCGCTTTGAAGTATGTTCCGAACACCGGCCCCACTCCAAAAAGACACCGCTTCACTGGTAACGACAAACACCCGAACATGAGATTTTGAGGAGCCACAACGACCAAAGAACACTGGAGGGAATGGGTGCGAGCCCCAAATCTGAGATACCAGCGAATCAGGGAATTGAGGATCCTCTCCACAAGTTAACCTGTTGCATCTGGGCTCCTTCAAAGGCCCCCTAAAAAAAGAAACATCAAAAGAAAGAAAGATGCCGATGCCACCCCGACACGCCCAAAGGAAGTACCCCTTTGCAGCTTCCTCCCAAAGCCACCAAACCCACCAAACCTTGGTCCAATGCAATCCATCCCGCCTGCTTTGTCACAGGAAATGGAGCAGAAGGTCCCTCGCTCCGTAGCCGGCAGCGGTGGGATGACCCGCTGCAACGCCATCCCGTCGCGAGCACTTGGCGAGGGACGACGCGAATGCGCGGATTGGGGGAAGGGGGGAGAGAAACAATTGGGCAGCCGGCACCACGGCGATTCGGTTTCTGGGCGGACATTCGGTAGGACTTCCCTTCTGGAATGTTGTTGATTTGCCGCAGGAGGTCTTGATCCTTGAAAGCTCGCAATGCACGTCCTCGCCTTCGAGGAACACACTCCAGCACTGAGCACACCCTTCCGCACAAGAACCCAATACTTGCAGGAAAGCCCACAGAAGGTAACCCGGGACTTTTTTACCTCTAGGTCTTACATGATGGCCTCCGCTCTTTGCCGTCTATAGTGGCAATTGCAAGCATTGCAACGTCTTTCATCTGTCATCCACACGCGCGATCACCGGGAGGCGCCTCTGCCGCTTGCCGTCTGTTGCGTCCATGGGACGGGCTCGGCACAGGTTGCCGACTTCGTGCTAACTCGCACGATCCCATCGTGGCTGTGCACGAACTGCTGCTGTACTGAATCCACTCAAAAGAAATGGATCCGATCCTACCACCCTTCCATCAGGGGTTTCAAACGACCCAGGCTTGGGCCCCACGAAGACTGACCTTGTGTCAGCAAGGGCCCTCTTAGTCAGAAAGTTACTCCCTGGAAAAGGACAAAACAATTGGTCAGAAGGGGAAAAGGAGCAACTTTATAAGGTTAATGAATCTACATTGGTGGTCACAAGGGGCAAAAGAGCAACTTTACAAAGCAAATGGATCTAAGGAGCAACTCTGCAACTCTGTGCGGTGCCTGGATTTGCTTTGGGGGTATTCGCGTCTCGCACTCCGCTCAGACTTTGGTCTTCTTGGCCGCTGGTTCGTCAGCCTCCGGCTCGTAGTTCACCTACGAGACGCTGGCAATAGCCAAAATCATAGGAAACCTCCTCCCTGACTCCCCCTGCTTCCCAACATAAGATCCAAATAAGACCTTACATATGGAGGAAACCAAGGGTAGAGGGTTGAGGAGGGGGAGGTTTAGAGTTATACACCCAAACGCGAAAGTCCTTGCATTTTCGTGTTTTTCTTGAAAGTCCGCAGCCTGCCAGTAAAAACAACGCAACGAGTAGTCCCGGCAGGGTCCTTGCAACTGAGCCTTCCCCAATGGCACACGGCGCCCAAGTGTCTCCTAAAACTGCTTTGTTTGAGTACCACTACGGACGCAATCCCCATGGCACATCGCATGTTACAAGGCACTTAAACGCATTTTAAGCATACACGTTTAAGTACGAGTAAGAAGGCAATCCCCATGGCACATCGCATACCAGTTGGGACCAAGATGTTGCTTGACTATGTGTGTTTGCACGCCAAAAAGAAGGCAATCCCCATGGCACATCGCATGCTCAACAACATCGAAACAAGTCTTGCAAAACAAGTTCGTGTGCTAGTACGAAGGCAATCCCCATGGCACATGCATACCCAAAGGCAACCAAACACATCTCAAAGACATCTTTTCGAAGCACAAAAATGAAGGCAACCCCCATGGCACGTTGCATAATCAACCGCAATGTCTCTCCTGAAACTGCTTTGCTTGAGCGCCGCTACGGACGCAATCCCCGTGGCACATTGCATATTACAAGGCGCTTCAGCGCATTTAAGCATACGTGTAAGAAGGCAACCAGCATGGCACATCACATACCAGTTGGGACCGAAATGTCGCTTAACTATGTATGTTTGCTCGCCAAAAAGAAGGCAATCCCCATGGCGCATCGCATGCTCAACAACATCGAAACAATTCTTGCGAAAACAAGTTCATGCGCTAGTACGAAGGCAAGCCCCATGGCACACGCATACCCAAAGGCAACCAGATGCATCTTGAAAACATCTTTCCGAAGCACACAAATGAAGGCAACCCCCATGGCACATTGCATCATCAACCGCGATCTCCTAAAACTGCTTTGTTTGAGTACAACTACGGACGCAATCCCCGTGGCACATCGCATGTTACAAGGCACTTAGACGCATTTTAAGCATACATGTTTAAGTACGAGTAAGAAGGCAATCCCCATGGCACATCGCATACCAGTTGGGACCGAAATGTTGCTTGACTATGTGTGTTTGCACGCCAAAAAGAAGGCAATCCCCATGGCACATCGCATGCTCAACAACATCGAAACAAGTCTTGCAAAAACAAGTTCGTGTGCTAGTACGAAGGCAATCCCCATGGCACATGCATACCCAAAGGCAACCAAACACATCTCGAAAACATCTTTTCGAAGCACAAAAATGAAGGCAACCCCCATGGCACATTGCATAATCAACCGCAACGTGTCTCCTAAAACTGCTTTGTTTGAGTGCCGCTACAGACGCAATCCCCATGGCACATCGCATATTACAAGGCGCTTAAACGCATTTTAAGCACACATGTCTAAGCATGAGTAAGAAGGCAACCAGCATGGCGCATCGCATACCAGTTGGGACCGAAATGTTGCTTGACTATGTGTGCTTGCTCGCCAATAAGAAGGCAATCCCCATGGCACATCGCATGCTCAACAGCATCGAAACAATTCTTGCAAAAACAAGTTCATGCGCTAGTACGAAGGCAAGCCCCATGGCACACGCATACCCAAAGGCAACCAGATGCATCTTGAAAACATCTTTCCGAAGCACACAAATGAAGGCAACCCCCATGGCACATTGCATCATCAACCGCGATCTCCTAAAACTGCTTTGTTTGAGTACAACTACGGACGCAATCCCCGTGGCACATCGCATGTTACAAGGCACTTAGACGCATTTTAAGCATACATGTTTAAGTACGAGTAAGAAGGCAATCCCCATGGCACATCGCATACCAGTTGGGACCGAAATGTTGCTTGACTATGTGTGTTTGCACGCCAAAAAAAACAATCCCCATGGCACATCGCATGCTCAACAACATCGAAACAAGTCTTGCAAAAACAAGTTCGTGTGCTAGTACGAAGGCAATCCCCATGGCACATGCATACCCAAAGGCAACCAAACACATCTCGAAAACATCTTTTCGAAGCACAAAAATGAAGGCATGGCACATTGCATAATCAACCGCAACGTGTCTCCTAAAACTGCTTTGTTTGAGTGCCGCTACAGACGCAATCCCCATGGCACATCGCATATTACAAGGCGCTTAAACGCATTTTAAGCACACATGTCTAAGCATGAGTAAGAAGGCAACCAGCATGGCGCATCGCATACCAGTTGGGACCGAAATGTTGCTTGACTATGTGTGCTTGCTCGCCAAAAAGAAGGCAATCCCCATGGCGCATCGCATGCTCAACAGCATCGAAACAATTCTTGCAAAAACAAGTTCATGTGCTAGTACGAAGGCAATCCCCATGGCACAAGCATACCCAAAAGCAACCAAACACATCTTGAAAACACCTTTTCGAAGCACAAAAATGAAGGCAACCCCCGTGGAACGTTGCATAATCAACCGCAACGTGTCTCCTGAAACTGCTTTGCTTGAGCGCCACTACGGACGCAATCCCCGTGGCACATTGCATATTACAAGGCGCTTAAACGCATTTGAAGCACACATGTCTAAGTATGAGTAAGAAGGCAACCAGCATGGCACATCACATACCGGTTGGGACCGAAATGTTCCTTGACTATGTATGCCTGCTCGCCGAAAAGAAGGCAATCCCCATGGCACATCGCATGCTCAACAACACTGAAACAATTCTTTCAAACACAAGTTCATGTGCTAGTGTGAAGGCAATCCCCATGGCACATGCATACGCAAAGGCAACCAAACATCTTGAACACATTTCTCGAAGCGCCAAATACAAGCAACCCCCATGGCACATCGCAGAACCAACCGCAACCGAGCACTGTTTAAACATATATATATATAGTAGTAGTAGTAGTAGTAGTAGTAGTAGTAGTAGTAGTAGTAGTAGTAGTAGTAGTAGTAGTAGTAGTAGTAGTAGCACAAGCAGCAGCAGCAGCAGCAGCAGCAGGAGTAGTAGTAGTAGTAATAGTAGTAGTAGTAGTAGTAGTAATAGCAGCAGCAGCAGCAGCAGCAGCAGGAGGAGTAGTAGTAGTAGTAGTAGTAGTAGTAGTAGCAGAAGCAGTAGCAGTAGCAGTAGTAGTAGTAGTGTAGTAGTAGTAGTAGTAGTAGTAGTAGTCGTGGTGGTACTAGTAGTAGTAGTAGTCGTGGTGGTAGTAGTAGTAGTAGCAGCAGTAGGAGGTGCCTTGTGTTAAGTTTTTGGCAAGTTTACCCAGGAAAAAAACGAGTCCAAAAACGAGTCTAAAACGAGTCCGAAAAGAAAGAAAACGTGCAGCCGCAACCCACCTAGGCCTCAGCCTGAAAAGCAGGCCGTTGAAACCAATTGATGTGTTAAGCAGACTGTCGGCCTTAGCCTAATACGTATTACAAGCACTTGTTGAAGATACGTGTTTTTCAAGCGTGTGCCAATGCGATTGGCCTCCCAAAGCCCCAGCTTCAACAATGCAAGCTGTTCTAGGAATCTTGTTGCGGATGACTGCGTGTGCCAACGCGCTTGGCCTTCCAAAGCCCCAGCTTCAACAACGCGAGCTGTTCTAGGAATCTTGTTGAGGATGATTGCGTGTGCCAATGCGAATGGTCACAAAGCCCCAGCTTCAACAACGCAAGCTGTTCTAGGAATCTTGTTGAGGATGATTGCGTGCGCCAGTGCGATTGGCCACCCACCCAAAGCCCCGGCTTCCACAACGCAAGCTGTTCTAGGAATCTTGTTGAGGATGATTGATTGTGCCAATGCGATTGGCCTCGCAAAGCCCCAGCTTCAACAACGCAAGCTGTTCTAGGAATCTTGTTGAGGATGACTGCGTGTGCCAATGCGATTCATGTGTTAGTTGACTGAACCTTCTCATTATCTTGGCCAGAGGCAGTGTGCCATTGCGTTTTGTGATGGGAGTGGGCCTCAACATTCAACAGCGCACCTTCGCCAAACACTCCTCAAAGTATCCGGCCCCCCATGGCACACCAGACACTTGGCTTTGTGTACAGTGGGGGGCTGGGGTAGCACTTGCGTCGCCAGCAACATCTAAGCCTGCAACTTCTATCACCTCGAATCCTAC